ATATATATATATACACTATATAATATATACTATATGTCAAATTATAATATATATGTATATACAATATATTAACAATACTATAGTATATAAAAAATCTTGATGTTGAAGGATAAGAACAAAAGTTGTGCAATAATATCAGCGATAGCCTAGCGCGGCCTAATGGTAACGAGGTGCGCCCAGAGATAATGAACTCACTCGAACCCGGGTTCGAGTCTCGAATCTGGGATCCTCGCTACATTTTTTTGTATTTATAAAACGGATTCGTAGAATCCGTTTTTTGAATAATTATTTATAAAACGGATTTGTCTAATCTGTTTTTCAAATAAATATTTTTTATATGTTTATATGTTATAGTTTATAAGTTATATAGTTTATATGTTTATGTGTTATATGTTATACTTTATACTTTATATGTTTATATGTTATAGTTTATAATTATATAGTTTATATGTTTATGTGTTATATGTTATACTTTATAGTTTATATGTTATACTTTATACTTTATATGTTTATATGTTATAGTTTATAATTTATATNTCGAAGATATAGGCGGATGTCGTGACGGCGTCATTAAACCCCGCCGTTTCGACACTCAGTTCTGGAAGGCGTTGGATCACCAGCATCCCAGAGTTTGGGATGCCATCGAGAGGACGGGGTTTGGCCCGCTATTTTGAATGGGCAGAGTCATGACCGACAACAGCCTCGTCACGTGTCTAGTGGAAATGTGGCGACCGGAGACGCATACCTTCCACTTTGATTTCGGAGAGGCCACCATCACGCTGCAGGACGTACAAGTCCTTTTTGGTCTCCCGATCGATGGAGAGCCTTGTTGGGGAGAGACTCAAGATAACACGCCCCTTAAATGGCAAGAAATTTGTAATGATGAGCTAAGGTTCGAGCCCTATGTTCAGGTAAATTTTTTCTTACATTTTTTTTTAATTTATTTATTTTTACTCCATTCACTAATTTAATATATATAAACCACTCTCAGAATGTCGAGGAACCGGTTCAAGACCCCAGCACTTGGGCCATTACAGGCCAGTATTTGAAGGCCTATGCGTTAGAAGAGGAGTGCAACCGACAACTAGCCGATGGAGAGAATTGCTTCACCTACGAGTTGAGGGTGAAGGCCCTTATACTCTGGTGCATCGGTTGCTTCTTCTTCCCAGACCAGAGGGGCAATGGAGTGAACCTCTACTGGTTGCAGCTTTTGCACGACATCGATACGATCAAGACGTACAGCTGGGGTTCGGCGGTCCTGGCCGGAGTGTATAGAGCGCTCTGCACGAGCGCCAAGTCCGGGGAAAAGTGGATCAAGAATTGTGTCCAACTGATTCAGGTAAATTTATTTGCTTGTTATTTCAAAATTCATTTTTTTTTTCTAATTTAGACTAATATCTAATAACAAATGAATATGTCGATATGTGTAGGTTTGGGCATATGAACGTATCCCTCGTACTCGCCTAAGAATGAGGGATACAAACTTTGAGAGAGTCCCTGGTTGTCCCCTAGGTGGAAGGTAATAAAATTTATTTATATTTAATATTTACTTTATTTCCACTATTAAATTTTGTGATTACAAATTTTTTTTTACTGTGATTTTTAAGGTGGGTGGGAACGAGGAGCACAACACACCTGGGCAAGGGAACAGCCACCACCCGAGATCAACTGACAGGCTCACAGAGACGGATGTAAGATTATTATTATTATTTTTATTTGCTGTTTGTTTTAATTTTTTTATAACTTAATTCCTAATTAATTTTTTTATTATTTTTTATTTTTCAGTTTGAATGGCTACCCTATCAGTGGCACCTGCAAGGGAATGCTCTCCCGGCCCAGTGTACAGAAGGTTCACACCTCTGGATGTATAGGGGGTGGATCTTCAACTGGAACGTCTGTGAAGTCCACATGCCTGATAGGGTCCTCCGTCAGTTCGGGTGTCGGCAGTCTACCCTTGAACCTCCTATCATTCCAACTGAGACCGAATATCAGAGACACCATCGAGGCCAGGGAATGACTGGGAGGGCAGTTTTTGACTGGGTGACCTTTCACGAAGAGCTTGAGAATGCTTGGGTCGAACATAGAGACGAAAATGTCATCCCAACATTCCCTGTGGAGTCATTCATTAACCCTGAGGCGGTTACCTTGATTGGTTTCACAGTATCACTGTGAGACTACTCGGTGACCCTGCCAATACGCGGTGGCCCAACCGGACAGAAGCTTTCGCCAACTTGCCGAGCAGGGGAAGTGCGACGTAAGTAATATATATTTATGTTTTTTATTCTATTATTATTATTATTATTATTATTATTATTATTATTATTATTATTATTATTATTATTGTTTGTGTTTCATGCTAATTGACTTTGAATTTAATTTTCAGACTACCGCCATGGAGGGAGCTTATCACACGTTAACGAATGTTGACCACCTCTTTCATACACTCCCTCCAGAGGTGCAGGCTGCAATCTTACAGGCCAAGAGCCTTCTCTACAGTTCTATGACTGTCGGAGGCGGAGATGTCGCACAAGGGCCGTCGTCGAGCCAAGTTCTAACGGAGGAGAGCTACGTCCGATCCCAGAGGATGCAGTCAAATCGGGCGAGGCATCAACCTGCTGCCAACATTGGTGGAGGTAGAAGACGACGCGACCGCCAACCCGCTGCCGATACCGGGCCTCAGGAAGAGGAAGAAGGTGAAAATTTTTAACTTAACAAAAAAAAATAATTTTATTTATTCTATTTATTTAGTTATTGTGATTTTTAAAAAAATTATTTATTCAGGTGAAGAAGAACAAGAAGAAGAAGAACCAGTCACACCCACAGCATCGTCTTCTTCACGACGACCACAACGTCGGATCAGCCAACGACAACGCAATCCTACGAATCGATACACTCCGAATTAGTTTGTATTGTATTCAGGAAATTTTGTGAACATATGTGTTAATTTTCTTTTCATTTTGTATACTCATATTTGTGTTTTGAATAAATTATTGTCGTTAAGTTTTTGTATATACTGTATGTTGGATTATTTTGGGCGAATTGATTCATATTAGTTGCTTGAACAGGTTGTGAAATGGATCCAAAAAAATATTTTGCATTTTTCTGCAGAGAAAAACGGATTCATAGAATCCGTTTTATGAAGAATTAGGGCAAAATTAGGTCAAAATTATGGCAAAATCGATTTTTGGGGGAAAAATTACGCAGAAAACGTATTTGTCAAATACGTTTTATATTTCCAAAATTATTTTCCGCAGAAAATTTATTTTTAATAATTTTAAAATTAATTTTTTTAAAAAAACGTATAAAAATAATCTGTTTTATAATTAATAAAATAATTTTAATTATAAAACGTATTAAAATAATATATTTTTAATTTAATGTAATTAACTTAATTGTATTAATTATGTTAATTAATTATTTTTTAGTAAAACGGATAAATTTAATACGTTTTACTTAAAAAAACGTATTCAAGAAATCCGTTTTTTAAGAAAAAACGGATTTTATACAATACGATCTTTTTATTTTTTTCCACTCCTTTTTATTTTTATTTTTGTCCAGTTATTTTTTTTAAATAAATAAATAATTCAAATAAATTAATCAATATATGGTATAAAGTGAACAAATTTATTTAGGTTATTTGATGACTGCTTTTTGTAAGGAAATTCATTGAAACATTAATCAATACACGGTGTACTTTTTTCTGTAGAGCGCAGACCAATATATTGGTTTTTAGGCGTGTGTTTCAATTTTTATTTCAATTTTTGGTATGAAATTATCATAATAAAATTACTGTAACTCCAACAAAATAATATGAACAGATATTTTGATATAATATGCGTGTATCGATTTTTTTTATTTTTTTTTATAGAAAAAGCTCTGGTCAATTTTTTTATATAATTAGTGGATCTCGATTTAATTTATTTTTGTTACGACATTTCAAATAATATTTGTGTGAAATGCATTGTTCATTTTTTAGCATGATAAAGAGTGTTGATTTATTGGGCATACAAAAATTTATGACTGATTGTTTTTACTCTACTTAAATTTTTTGATTTGAACATTTTATACAAAAATAAATTCATTTTAATTAATGAAACAATATAAGTTTTATATTTTTACTTATTATCTACATAGGTTTTTAAATATATAATAAAATTTTACCAAAATAATTATTTTATGGAATCACGTTATGTCAAATCAAATTTCTGAATAAAATTTTTGAAATGACACATGATTTGAAAAGAATATAATGTAAGTTATTATCAGTTATGTGCAACACACGAGTTGTGTACTAATTTTAAATATACATTTTTATGTAATTTTGCAAATTTAAATTTTATATAATATTTTTAATAAATTAATATAGGTAAATTGTATGACATATAAATTTTATGTTTTTAATTTATTAATATTATTTAATAAAAATTTTTAATTTATAAATATTAATGAATAGCTCTTAGCCGTGCATCGCACGAGATTCGTACTAGTAGTTATACATAGAGGGGATTTTAGATAAATTAGATTGAGTGCGGCTAAAACAGGTTATATAACTTCTAACTCATGGTCTTCCCCTTCTCTAAATATAAATAGTAATCGCCCACGCGTGCTAACAAGTACCAGAAAAAATGATTAGTGCAAAATTTTAATTAAATCATCGGCTGAAAAAATGTTCTTGTGCCCTTTGAATGGAGTGGATCAGTAGAACAATGTATAACTCTCTCAATGCTCATACAAATTCTCCAATCTTTCGTCCCAAAACACACACACACACACACACACACTAAANAAATCCTTTTTTATCATATATATGTCCAATCAACATAAATTCACTCTGTAATTTGTTCAATTGTTGATGTACCTTAGATCCCATGATTATAAACACGTGCAGTGATCATATAAACGGACGTACGCATTCAAACACACAGATCCTGCTTCGATTGGTTCAAATTTGATCTGTTTTTCCATCTCTTTATTGATCAATCAATCAGGTACATGTTCCAATGTGCATTCATTTGGCCTCGGGTGTCGTGTGGGTCCAGAAGAGTGGTTTGTGTCTAATGTTGTCAATGGGGATGGCACGTTTTGTGTGCGCGAGCGTTTATTTGTGTAGTTTGATTTTATTTGAGCGATTGACAAGTATGATGCTGGATATGTTTCTATGAGTTTGTGCCTGTATTTTGAGCTGTGATTTGGTATGGGAAACAACGGTTGTGATTTGGGCGTACACGGTTCGGTTTGTAATTTTCGTTGCAACTATTGGTTTGTCTGTATTCGTTTGACTTATTCTAGGCAATGAATGTTTTGGGTTGTGGTTTGTTGGTGAGATTGTTNTGGGTAAAGTATCAATCAGTGCTACTGGTTAAATGTGGTTAATTGTTGTTTTGCATGATGAACATTGTTTTGCAAAATAGCTTTTCTTATTTCTGATATCATCTTCCTTGATTAGAACTTATTCCAAATGTGACTCTCACTCTATATTGATATCATCTTCGAACTGTGTTAATGTATCAGGCTATTGGTCTTCATGCCAGCTGGACGTATGCATATCATATATCTCTTCTCAACGATCAAAATTTTGTATGAAAGGCAAACTTTGGAACTAGATCAAATATTTTTCGGAATTGACTTGTGATACATTTTCTTTAGACGAAATTAGTTTAGGTTAGGCGTGTAGGCATGAAGGACGTACAAACGTTGATCTCACGCAAGCGTAGCCATATAAAGAAGCCTTCATGGATCATTGTATTGGTTTCATTAGTTTGCTTGTTTTTAGTTTGTGTGTATGTTTACCCGCCTCCAAGTTCTGCGGCATGCTATGTATTCTCATCTAATGGCTGCAAGGCGATACAAAACTGGCTTCCTCCTCCGCCTGCCAGAGAACTAACGGATGATGAAATCGCTTCTCGTGTTGTAATTAGAGATATACTCATAACGCCGTATGTTGTATCATCGAACCCCAAAATTGCATTCTTGTTTTTGACACCTGGTGCTTTACCATTTGAGAAACTGTGGGATAAATTTTTTCAGGTACTCTCTCTCTCTATACACACACACACACATACACACACCTTCATGCTGATGCAGGAACATAAATTGATTTTTTTTTTTTTGCTCTTTTTTGAAAATAATATTACGCAATTTTGTCAAGAGTATTCCTGGTCGAAGCAGTTCCAAACTCGTTGATATTATATGCAGCCTTACTTTTAGTTATCTAGAGGCTAACATGTCCAATTGTTGTAACAACTGACCACACATGTTCCCAATGGATATAGTTTGGAATTAAATTATCTCTGCAGCATGTAATAGTCCAATATATCAGAAGTAGGATTCAAACTTCATCATAACATAATTTCCATGTGTTCTACTTCTTTAAAATCTTTTATGTCTATGTTTTGCTTTAGTCTGAGTTCTAGCAGTCATGTGCAAGTCACTAAAGGTAAATGACGAGATGAAAAGAATTGTGATATATCATACACAAGGCAGAAGTATTAAAGTTTTAAAATACTAAACCAAGTAGCTTTTCAACACATACAAATTGAGAAAAAAATTTCTGACCAACAGAGAATGATGGCAAGAATAGTTTGTGAATGGTATGAAGGAACACTCTTCTGCTTAATTTGTTTATTAACAAACATGCTTACACATTCTAATTTTGATGGTATTGGAATTGCTTGAAGCAAATATATTATCTCAAGTTTTACCTTTGCATGGCAGGGTCATGAAGGTAAATTTTCTGTGTATGTGCATGCCTCCAAGGATAAACCTGTGCATTTTAGCCGTTACTTTTTTGATCGGGAAATTCGCAGTGATGAGGTTTTCCCTAATTCCTCGGTCATTATTATTGTGACTCGGAAAATAATAAATGATAAATCTAGTCCGTGTTGTAATGCCAATGCACATTTATTGTGATTAACCTTTCACATCCAGGTGACGGGGTTTATGTATATTATTTTGGTGTGTTCTATTTTATGTGAGTATATATGTCCTGTTACAACCTACTAAAGACAATTTGATGCGCATTGATAGTTTACAAATAAAATACACTCTCGGTCTGTATTTGTGGGTGGATGAAAAATGAGAAGCTTTTGTTGGTTGTTGGGCATTATAGGCTGCTAGACTACATATGGGGATCCTTAAAATGCTTCATTTTGCAAATCTTACTAGAAAAATAATTATGCATATTGTACCACAAATATCTATATGATATCCACATTATCATCCTGAAGAGACATCTCAGTTTCAAAATAAACATATAATCCTTGGGATATTCATTTCGGTTTGCATTGAAGAGTGCTTTTGTATGCGGATCAAATGATTTGCATACCCTAGTTGGTGCAGCTCCATTTTCTTTGTATACTATCATTGGCCTTTTCTATTAAGTTAAATGTCTTCTCTTTCGTTTTGTCTTTTGTAATTTAATTTATTGGTATCATGTTTGTCCTGTTCAATATTTTCTCATTGGTTGTCAAATTGTTATGACTGTACTTCGTCCAGACAAAATGTAAAAAACCTTGCAACTAAGAGTAGACTCAATAATTTAATTTCCTATGACTGATTCACATTGCAGGTAACATGGGGGAAAATCTCAATGGTTGATGCAGAAAGACGGCTTTTAGGAAATGCACTCAAAGATCCAGACAACCAACATTTTGTACTACTTTCTGATAGGTCCTTATAGAATGATTTTTTGTCGAGTTT